GGCCGCCCGCCAGGCTGCCTGGCGCCGCGCCCTCCCGCATCACGCCGCGGTGAGTCACCGCGCGCGGCCCCGCCCCCCGCGCCAACAAACAGCGCGTTGCCCGGCAACTGCCACCGCCCGCCCGCGCAGTCCCGGGTTCGAGCCTCCAGCACCGGTGCTACGCGATGCTCCGGGCCCCAACGGCCTTTACCAGATTAAGGGCTCAGATGGGGACTGCTGTGGTTCCCTGGGGTGGGGAGGACACAGGGTGGCTCTCCCACTCCAGATCCACCCCTGGCTCCAAGGGAACTGGGTGCTAGGGTCAGGATGTCACGGGGTGGTCGCTGTGGGTGAGCAGCTGGACCAGAGTTGCTGAGGAGTCGAAGCCATTTTCCTAGAGGGATATGGGGAGACGGCCTGGGGAGGGTGATGCTGTCAGGAGGGCTGTAGTGGGGGCTTTTGGCTTTTTGCCCTTACCCTCCCACCCACAAGTAGCTAACATTTAATGAGCACGTTCTGTGTTCCAAGCCCTGTTGTATACAAGTGTGTACCTGTGTGTACTAATTTAATGTTCACCTCAGTTCTCTGATGTTTCATTGGTATTCCCATTTTAGAGATGGGGAAACTGAGTCACAGAGCGGCCACATCCCTTGCCAGTAAAGGCAGAAACAAGCTTGAAACCCAGGCAGGGTGACCTGGGCTCCCAAGCCCCTCTCAGCAGGGTGCATGTCCCCTTTTGGTGCAGTCATATCTGTGGGAGTCTTCGAGAATGTGGGGGTAAATACCAAGTCCACGTTGGAGTTTGGGTGGGACACGCAAGGGTGTAGTGGGGCCTGGTGGGCTCCTTGGGGGCTGTCCACACCGGCAGCTGTAGGCTGTGCACTCCAGAGGCTGTGCCAAGTGCCCCCCGCACCCACAGACGGTCATACCATGTGAAGGCAAGAAGAGTTCCCCAGGAGCCGGCCTCAGATCATCTCACCCTGGGCACCCTGGCATCCCACAATAGTCACCACAGAGCTGCCCAAAGGATCCCTAAAGATGAGGGGGCCGCCCAGGGTCCCAAACCCTGTGGTGTGGGAAATAGAGCAGCAGGTACTAGCACCTCCATCAGGGAAGTGACTTGTTGCCTGTGAAGTGACCTTTTGTGTCATTTAAGAAATGTTCGTTCTCAAATGATTGAGTCAATCTCTCAATCACATAATGATTGAGAGGAGGAGACAGATCTGAGTTCAGGGTTCCTAGAGAGTCTGAAATCACAGGGTCATGGTGGGGAGGTGAGGAGGGCTTCCTAGAGGAGGTGATGCCCTGGGAGTTCAAAGATGCTCAGGAGTAGGCAGGTGGGTATGACAGAAGGTGGAGACTGACAGAAGGTGGACCTTCCTGCCCACCATGGGAGGGACCGTGGAGGAATTTTTCAAAGTAGATGGGAGAGGGGAGACATCATTGGGTTCAATTGGCTCTCTCTGGAGAATGAATTAAAGGGGTAAGGCGGGAAACAGGGAGACCAGGCGGGTGGACACTGGAGTGTATTTAGGCCAGTGATGATGGTGGTGGGTGATATGGTTGGCAGATTCAACAAATATACAGAACATCCAGTTAAATTTGAATTTCAGATTCAGAACAAATAATTTTTTTAGTATAAATTTTTTTTTAGTATACCTCTGTCCCAAATATTGCATAGGACATACTTATGCTTAAAAAAAGATCCGTTGTTTATCTGAAAATCAAATTTAACTGGGTGTCCTGTGTTTTATCTGGCAACCAAACTTTGGGGGGAGGCACCTCAGGGGCCCCTGGGGATGGGGACATGATAATAGCTGACACCAATTGAGCAAATGCACTTTGAAGTGGGTACTACTGTCAGCCCCATTTTACAGGTAGGTAAACTGAGGTTCAGAGAGGTTTTTAACTTTTCTATACGATCAGTAAGTGGGTGACTCTCGACTGGAATCTGGGCATGTTGGTTACAGGCCACCAGCAGTCAGAGCTTGTACCCCTTCTTCCGCGGGGGTCGGGGTGGGGCTTGGACGCACCGGTTCCTGGTGGCCCAGGTAAGGGCCTTCCTAATGCCATAGACTCCCCAGTCCCCTCGCGTAGCCTGGGCTCTGCGCCGCTCCCCTCGCGCCCCTCCTCCGCGGACACCGAGGCAGTGGGAGGGACGCGAGGCGGCCTCAGGGGGCCTCCTCCCCCCGGCTGAGGCTCGGCCTCGCCCTCCTGCAGGCCGGGAAGATCCGCCGTCTGCGCCCGCCGGCAGGGGGAGGGGGCGGGTTATTTTTACCTCCCTCCAGGCAGCCAGGGCGACAGGAAGTGAGCGCGCGGCCCGCCAGATGTGGGGAGCCAGGCAGCTGGGAGCAGCCACAGCTGGACTGGCGGCCGGCCGGGGCGGGGGGAGGCGGGGCGCGCGGAGGGTGGATCCCCAGGACTCAGGTCCTCCGCTTTGTTCCCCGCCGTCCCAGCCTGTCCTCCAAGGTCTCCCCTTCACCCACCTCCCCTGCTCATCTGGTCGTTGTCTCGCTGTCCCCCATCTGTGCGTCAGTCCCCTCGGTGCTCAAGGGCTCTCGGGTCCCGGGCAGGGAGGGAGACCTTTCTCCTCGTCTCGGGGACCCCCGGGTCCCAGCAGAGGAAGGGGTGAGAAGGGGAGACGGCCCCTTGCCGGCCCCGCCTGCCACCGTCATTGTTTACCCGTCGGCTGCCTCCTTGGAAACTTAACCCGCCCGCGGTAATTTTATTTGGGAACTTCGGCCAGTTGCCATAGCAACCCCCAGTGACGTCAGAGGGGCTGGGGCCCGAAATCCCCGGGAAAAGGGAGATGGGATTAGGGGGGAGACCCCCAGAAGGGCTCTTCCTTAACCCTGCGCGTGCCGGCTCCAGTCAGGCAGCTGGAAGAGGCAGCCCACTATGACACTTCTTGGGGCGCCCCAAGTCTGGCCTGGTGTCAAGTCAGGGTGGCAGGCCAGGCTTTGATGTCATCAGTGCTGGGTGGGTGGTGAGTCAGCCTCAGGGTGGGGGCTGGGCCAGGCCTGGGGGCTATTCCTGTCTGACTCACCCGACCATGCCCCTGAGCAACACTCGGACCCTTCCCTGGAGTTTTCGGACACCTGGCTGGGGGTCCCCACAAATCTCTGTGGCCTCTCTGCCCTTCTGAACCATAGATGGATTGGCAGAGTCTTTCCTGGTGCTCCGGACACCGGTCAGGGACGCTTGAATGGATGGGACCGTGGCAAAGTGAGCCGGGGCCACCACGTAATGTCCTTCCCCGGATGTGGGGAGGGGCTGGTGCCCTAGCAAGGGGTCAGGGATGTGGTGGGATCCCGGCTCAGTCCATAACACAGCAGTCGCCAGGGTGACAGGAGGCAGGGGCCCTGACTGGCATGGAGCAGCACAGCCGCCAGCCGGGGGCTGGGCGGGGAGGAGCCACTCTAACCACAGTGACGTGGGACTTCCTCGGCGGGGCCTGTTTGATGTCTCTGTGTGCAGCGTTGCCATGGGGCCCAGCAGGCAGCCCTGCGTGTGAGCCGGGGTGACCTGTAGACCAGCTGGGCTTGTCAGGGTCCCTTGACCCAGCCCTTCACCATGGGCCTGAGGGTACCTGGTGTACCTAGGTGTGCACGCTCATCCAACTTCCACCCTGGGCTAGGACACTACACATCTCATCTCAGGGCCTTGTGACAACTGCACATTTTCAGCCCCATTTTACAGGTAAAGAAACCGAGGCTCAGAGAAGTGTGATCACCTGGCCAAAGACATCTAGCTAGGACTTTAAACTCTGTTGTTCTTCTGCTCAGCACCTCTCCCCTCCTCCATCAAACTGTCCTCCTTGCTGTTTCTCACATACCCCAGGCACATTCCTGCCACAGGGCCTTTGCACTGGCTGTTCCCTGCCTGGAGCTTTCTTCTCCCAGATGTCTGCATGGCTCCTCCCTCAGCTTCTACAAGTCTTTGTTCAAATGTCACCTCCTCCTCAGGGAGGCCTTTTCTGACCTCCCCCCCACCATCCCACTTTTCATCTCTATTTTTCTTGCTCCCCCTAGCCTGTACCAGTCAATACACTATATAATTTTTGTGTGTCTTTTTTTTTTGGCAGCTGGCTGGTGTGGGAATCTGAACCTGTGACTTCGGTATTTCCAGCACCTAGTGAGCTACACTATCTGTATACCTATCTTTCCTGTTTATTCTGTGTGTTTACCCCAACAGATGTCTGCCCCACAAGGACAGGGATTTTCTTCTGTCTTGTTCTCTGCTGTGTCCCCTGTGCCCAGAACAGTGCCTGGCACACAGCAGGCACTCAAAGGATGTTTGTAGACAAGACAAATGAGTATGTGTTTCTCTCATGCCATTTGACCACTTGACCTAGTCTCATCCTGTCCTTGTCCCCTAACCCTTCCCCATCACGACAAAGGGTCAGTCGGTCAGTTTGGTGAGCTTTGATCGCTGTTGGCTATTGTCCCTGGGTAAAGCAGCCAGCTCAGGACTGGTGTGTGGGGACAAACATCAGGGGACCCAGAGGGAGTACTGGGGGCTCTGGGAAGACCCTCTAAGCTTGGGCTGAGGGATGCTAAATGAGCTGGGGCTGTCTGAGTCACATGCAGGGAAACAGCTAATACTGACTCAGGGACCCTGGCCAATAGGTATTCCCAGAGAGCAGCGTGGAGGAGGCATGTACTTCTAGATGTGTGCCCAATTAGACTAATGCAGGCAGGGTGAGGGGTGAGTGTCTGGATGGGTTTTTGAGTGTGAAGGGAGCATTTTGGAGAGGCAGTGTGGAGGAGGGTCCAGTAGACATTGGCACTGTGGAGCCATTGGCTTTGTAATTTGGTCACTTTCTACTTCTGGAATGACAAGTGTGTGTCCACAGGGGCACCCAGACCCACTCTGGGAACTCCATTCTCATTTGTAGCTGCTCAGGAGGCCATGTGGCAAGTACTCCCACTTTCCGGGCCCCGCCTTGAGTTGGGGAATTCTGTGCCACCCTAAATCCTGCCCCAGGCCCCATGGGCGGCTCTGCCCCCTCCTGCCCCAACCTGCCAGATCCTGCAGCCTGGGCCAGCCTGCCCCTTGGGCCCCACAGGGAAGAAAGACCCGGGAGCCCCCAAGGCTGGGCTTCGTGTAGTTAGGAAGCTAGGTGTGGCTTCCACCCCCCATCTCACTAATCTCACCAAGACCCAAGATGGGAGCTGGCTGAGCTGAACTGAGGAAATGGGGAACCCAGGAGGAATTCTGGGGTGCAAGGTGACACAGAGGCGTCCAACCAGTCCCTCCAGTCCCCTGCCTGGGCCTGCTGCTGGGTTCCTGCCCCCCACCCCACCCTCAGGGTTACTCAAAAGGGGAGGAGAATGGGACCCCCAGCCTCAATGAGAGACTTCAGGAATGTTGGGGGTGGGAAGGAAAAACTGTTCCCCAAAGCTATGCCTACACAGGTCTGTGAAGGGTCCTGCAGGCTCCAGACCTGCGCTGTGGCATGACGGTGGTGTTTGGGGTTGATCAGCCTTTGTCCTGTCCTGGAGAGGGCAAAGTGGCAGTGGGACATGCCCAAGGAGGCTGGCTGGGCCGCAGAGGGCACCCCGCCCCTTCTTTGCCAAGTTTTGTTCCCGGCCCCCCACCTGGGCGCCGGGCCAGGCCCCGAGGCAGGGCCCCGTCCTGGGGAACAATACAGCCGTGTTCCTTCTGGTGGAGGGGAGGCTGGAGGATGAGGAGGGAGAGACATGCACACAGGGAAAGAGGGAGGGAGCCAGGAAGGGCCTCTCTCCCAGGGATACTCCGGGAGCTGGGAGTTTCCCAGAGGTCCTGGGTGGGTGGGGGAAGGTGCTGGGAAGCCTGGGGGGAGGGGACCCAGACCCAAGGATCTCCAAGCCTGGGGTCCTAAAGTCTTTTGTATGGCAGCAGGAGAGTGTTGGGTGGGATAAAAGGAGGGACTTCCTAAGGCTGGAGAAGATGCTGTGGAACTGGAGGAAGTTCTGCCAAACAGAATCCCACAACACCCAGTCCCATGCCCTGCCATGAGGGGTCTGAAGTGGCACTATATGACCTGGTGTGGGACTCGGCCCTTCCCAACCTCCATTGCCCCCCTCACGGTCTCCTGGGTGACTCCTTCCTGCTCAGGGGAGGACTTAGGCCAAGAGGGGCTCTAGAGGTGGGAATGGGGGTTAGGACCCCCGCTCCTTCCCTGACCCCCCGCAAGGAGGGTCTTGGCTTAAAAACCAGGGCTGGGACCCAGGTTCAGGGTCCAGAGGGGGACGTTGGGCTCCTTTGGGGCCCAGGCAGATTCGGGACAAGGAAGAAGAAAGTTGGGCCCGAGTTGGGGGACGGGACTGAGTAGGGGGACAGGAGAGAGAAAGTGGGGGCGG